TACCTCACTGTAGGGTCATTACTAAAAAGGATTGTATTTAAGGTCCCTAAAAATCTTCATTATTTGTCCAGTGTGTAAGGAATGATTACACCTGGGTGGGTATTTTTATATGCTAAAAATTGTCTGGTAAAATAGATTTGGGTTATGACATGGCTAAATAGAATTAAATGGATTCTTTATTGCAAAATCTTCTATTCTTTGTTGTGTTTAATGTTTTGTGACTTTACATAACAAGTGGCCCAAACATGCTGATACTCTCAAATATTTTGACGGTGGAATCCTTTTTTCCATGAAGCACACTATAGGATAAATGACTCTTAGAACAGAAATCAAGACTTACCAATAGTTTTTTTTCAGACTAATAATAGGAATCATGTGAAATTTTTAAATACTGAGAGGCAGTTGCATGCTAATCTTTTTAACAATGAAGCATTTGATTCAGAAAGTATATAAAGTGTTGTGGTGGTCACATAAAGGGAAGAAAATATGAAGTAAGATGTTTCTTGAGATGATTCTTAAAAAATCAAAACCACCTGTATCTTTTGTGAACTGACATAACACTGACTCTAAATTCTCACTCATTCCCCACAAGGTATGATGACAGAATCCACAGGTTAAAACCACTGAGAAGTGACTATGATTTTGTTGGATCCAATGGRAAGTCCCCTATATATAATTGCCCTAATACATTTACTAACCCATTCTAGGAGCAAAATATTAAATAAGAAATGATAAAAACCATAACTCACTTTTTTGGTTTTCCACTAGGAAAACATAAATGGAGGCATTTGGGAATTTACTTCTTTCCAGTGTTCTCATAGCTGCCTATAATTTAACGTCTTGGTACAGCTTTGACTTTTGGCATGATAAATTATTCTAAAATAAAATATTTACTTAATAAATACCAAAATATGCATGTACACTGACAGCAGAGACAGAAAATCTTTTTTAACATATCATGTTATACAATAAAATAATGTCACAATTGTAAGAATGTATTCAGTTATTATGTGGATGTGTTTAAAATGGCATTTCTGTTCCTTACATCTTGTGGAGTATGTGTTTTTATCAGTATTTGAAAGAGAATGTATCTATCATTCATTTTTTTATAAATTTATAAATGTGTGTATTTTTCCTTCCTGATCAGAGGCTTGTAAGCATGTCATATAACTTTAATTCCTCATGGTAAATGACAATGAATTTATATTTTAGTTTATTCATAGACCATCTGAATTTATTACATTTTTTATGCTAATGTTATAAAATAATTGAATGACTCAGCTTCTGGAATTCCATGAATAAAATATAAAATATAGGTTTGATTTGCAATACATAAATGAAAGGCTTTCGTGCATCTCCTACTGATATCTTTTTAAAAGAATCCAATTATTTTTCACTCATTATGAGAGCTGTAAAAGTTAGGTCATATATATTTGCATATGTTTTCATTTTAATCACTTTGAAAGGCTTTTAAATATTCCTCCAGAGAAGACTGAAAATAAGAAGAAAACTGGGTCCACTTTAAGCTAATCCTACGSAGTTCACTGAACTGGATTTTGAACTTGACCCACCGTGGCTGTGTTATGGATCATTCACTTTTTGTCTTCAGAAATGGATGATGCAAAAGAAACCCATTTGCTTTCCACCCATAACATTTCATATTCAGCTAAGCAAAATGATTTCAGGTGATTTTGCTTTTGCAGTAGCTTAAAAGAAGGGTATACAATATGCTGCTTCATTGTGTTGAATTCTAAAACCTTAGACATCAAAATAACCTTCATATTTCTTATTATATCAGTGTCCAAGCACTTTCCTAGAGTTGCATAGTGTGGTCAAACAGCTGAGCTTCTCCTTTTGAAAATGCTTATAATATGCAGAACTGGTGTCAAAATGGTATGCAACTWGATGTTCATTTTTTATAATTCTTACTAAATTACTATCAGCTAAAATTTATAATCATTATATGCCAAGTACCTTTTTAAACATATAATTTTCACCTACATGCAACTCTTTGAAGCAGCTATTTTTATTGTCCCAATTTGTAGATGAGAAAATAGGAAACAAAAAAGTAATGTAATTTAGGGAAAACTGTCACATAGAGTAACGTAAAATAAAGAACCTCTGGATTCTTCTTAAAGGTGCTTATTGCATTCTTCAAATTCATTTTAACAATGTTTATTTAGTGCCAACTCTGTGMCAGGGACCATGCTAAGAGCAGGAGACAGAGATGTGAACAGCCTGTGTCTCTTCACAATGGGTGAACATCTGGATAATGCTTCAACAGAAACAACCACGCACCCAAGTCCACATCTGGATAAGATTATCATTTTATCCCTTCCATAACATTTACTTAGTATCTGCTCCCTACCACATATTAACTAGCAAACACTGTCAAACATTTGGCATTTTGACAAAAGTGTATTATTCTTGGTAATTTTTCTGCATGTGGAACAACCAATAGGTATCTCCTATACCACTGAGTTGGATTGGCATAAATATTCTCATTCTTCTACCTGCAGATAGTTTCTGTGATAGGATTTATAGTAATGGACACAAGAAGGTAAATACTGAGGAAGGTAAGGAGGAGAGGAATCTGGAAAATTAAAAATCCTCCTCCTAAGCTTAGACTCGGTCCATTATGGGAAATATTGAGGTGACTCTTTTCTTATTCTCTTTCTTTGAAGATGGCTGCATTTTATTTGTATAAAAATGGATAATTACTTTCTTGTACATATGTTTGGTATTTCCTAGAGGAGATGCAGTAGGAAAATTCTTTCTTTGGGTCAGTCACATTTACATGACAACAATTCTTGGCTCATCAGATGTGTCATTGTTTTTTTTTTTTTAAAAAAAAAACTTTTTTGTAGTTGTAGATGGACAGAATGCCTTTATTTTATTTCTTTATTTTTATATCATGCTAAGGATCAAACCCAGTGCCTCACATATACTAGGCAAGCGCTGTGCCACTAAGCTACAGCCCCAGCCCCAGATGTGTAATTTTAATTAATTAACTTGCCGTATGGGTGTCTAATAGTTGTAATGCATATAAGTACTGCTCCCTGTGGAATGATTATTATGAAAATTAAATGAAATAATGAAAGTAAAATTTTTTTAGTAGAGTTCCCAGTAATATCGATGGCAGTGTCAATAAGTTCATTTGCTATTATTTTAATTMTTTTCATCGTCTTCCTCTTTGTCTGCTAGACAAGTGGCTCTCAATGTTTTACACATGCCAATTACAATAAATTATATGCATAGTCTGAACTGTCAGGCCCTAGGCCAGTGGCTGGCTAACTCACTAGGAATCTCTGATGAATTCTCAGGAACATGAAATGATGAGCCCAGGGTCCTGGGTTTTGAACTTGAACTCTCTGTGAACAGGAAGGGTTGATGGCTCTTGAAGCCTGTGAACTGAATCAGTCAATGGTGGTTGGGATTTAATAACATCTCTATGTTTATCATAGAAGTCAAGGAGAATCTGAGGGCTGCTTTCAAGGGAGATGATTATCTTCCTATTTCAAAGATACCCCTTTTATGTTTAGACATTATATTTTCAAAGTTAGGATGCTCTTCTAACTACCTAGTTTGATTCTAGGAGCTATTGCCATTTTTTTTCTGTTATTCTAAATTGTTTATTGGTGGTGGAATTATCACTATTACTGAACTAGTTTATAACAGAGATCTGTATAAAGAACCAATGAGAAATTAGATTGCATTTGAGATGTTGTTCTAGACCCATGGTATATGCGTCCATATGAGGAAAATTGAAACCTTAGAAAAAGTCCAGTTATCCTTTGGGGCAGTCACATGTCAAAGGACAAATAACTTACACAATTTTTTTTATTATTATTGGTAGATGGGCATATACCTTTATTTTATTTATTTTTATGTGGTTGATACTGAGGATCAAACCAAGTGCCTCACACATGCAAGGCAAGCACTCTGTCACTGAGCCACAACCCCAGAACTTACACAATCTTTATGATTTGTATGTGCGTGTCTCTTAGACTTGCCTGCCTCTTAGACTTGTAAACAATCCAGATGCAAAAGTTCTTTGAAGAGATAAATATGGTATCACTTTAAATTTAATATATGCAAATGTATGCATTTGAGGGGGGAGATTTTTTTGAGGGGGTGAATAAGTTTGTAAAATGTCATTAATATACACTGGACTCCATTGCATACTTCTATGTATCACACTGATTGTGGTCCAGTGTGGTGTATTCATTACAGTTAGATGTTTGAGTATTAGTTATTGATATCTGTGCTTATTTGTTGAAATTGTACTCAGACCCATGGCTTGAAAATGTCATTGGAACAAAGAACAGGTCTTTGTTATACACACTCCTTTCCCTAGAGACTGCACTGATGAGCACCATAGGTATCTGATAAATAACTGTGTACATAGCGTGTACGCTGCTCCTCAGAACTATTGGAATTAGTGTTATATTGATTTGGGGATGTTTTTAATTGGATGTGTTATAAAATCAAATTTAGAGATCATGYATGTGAATATTGAAAAATTGATTACCCACTTCTTCATAATCATTTCTCTTCTGACWTGAAAGCCAAATATATTGTAATTCAGATATTTTATATTATTGGGGAGTGTTTGGTAGCTTTCAGTACTGAACTGATCATTTCAATGAGTTTTCTCYTCTTCTGTCCTCTTTGAGTGCAATTTAGAGTTATGTGGTAATGTGATGGGAAAGAGTGAGGTTTATAACCAGATAAACCTAGTTTCAAGCCCCATCTGCACTTCCCAGTTGCAAGAGGCTGTGAGTAGTTAATTTCTCTACACCTGTGTTTTCCCATGAGGGTCTAGTCATATTTCCCTAGTAGGATCTCTATAGGGGGTTTTAATGTGGTAGTAGACTCTACATGCTGACTRTGGTATTTGACACATTATGACCTTTAGGTGTAGCTTTTAAAGTTGCTTTTCTAAACAGATGTTCTTTTTCTTTTTTTTTTTTTTTTTTGGTGTGTGTTTCCTTTTACAGATGGATATACCACTGATGACATTGAATTTTACTGGCGTGGGGATGACAATGCTGTAACAGGAGTAACCAAGATTGAGCTCCCACAGTTCTCCATCGTAGACTACAAACTTATCACCAAGAAGGTTGTTTTCTCCACAGGTTCGTATCAGGGAAATGAATCTTCATCATAGTTTGTCAAAAGGCTTCGCTTTCACTGAGGTCCTGTCCCGGGAAGGATCATGCCTCTGAAGGATTTGGCTCTGCTGAAAACCCTGCTCCCCAGGGAGCCTACAGCTCCATCCAGAACCCAGGCAGCTCCTCTCCAGAAGGTGCCCCAGCAAAGCTCAGAGGGTCATCTGCATGTGCCTCGTGCTAGAGAAGGGACTAAGATTTTAGAAACGGGATACAGAAGGGTTGAAGACCTGAGTCAGAGAGGTCCCCAGCTCGATGCCTTCCTGAGAACTTAGGATCATCCTGGGGCCTAGAACGACACAGTGGAAGTCCTCAGGCAGCAGAGGAGAAGAGTTTTATGATCTTCACCATTCTGCCCCTTCCAGACGTTGACATCATCCTACTGTCTTTGCCATCTTGGCCCTTTCAACCCTGAGACTGGAGATCGCCAGACTTGATGTCATCAACATAATTTTTTTTWMMWTTTTTTWAAMMAAAAAAACAGGAAAACAATTATTTGCTAGATATTAATTTAGTGGCAAAAGAAACTGAAATCTTAACAAGAATGATCCACTTTATATAATTTTTCCACTGAAGTGAGTCCCATTGGCACAGTAATGGCTAATACTGTGACAGTAAATATCGATCACCTTTCTGCTAAGAATTCAGATACTTCTTGTTCCTACAAACCACAAACCATTTAGAGCAAGAGCTGTGTGACTTGGTAAATATACCAAGTTGCCTCTAGCTTAAAAAAAACTATTTCCAATGTGGGATGTCCTCCAAATCCCTAAAAAGACAAAAATATAAAGGAAAGAAAACAAACTGAAAACTTTTCYGAAGGATAGAATCTTTAAACCCCTAAAGCTCTGTGGGAATGAGTTGCTGCTTCAAATATTCTTACTTTCATATTAAGACATATTAGCCCAAGAAGACTAAATAAAGCTTCTCTCAAATAGTGGAAGTATCTCCCGTGCAGTGCATTAACGTGAACTTTTTATATTGTAAGAATGTGCTCTCCTGTGACTCTCATCCAAAGAGTAGTGCCCTAGATCACTACAACCAAAAACCCAGACTTAGTAACCTATACTGTTAGTTGTTTTTTCCCAAAAAATGTTGCTCAAAAGCAATGATTCTTCACCATCTTGTGGATTAGGGAGCATTGAAATTGTTAAGAACTAATAAAGGATCCATGCATGTGAAAATCTACACAGAAGGGATTTTTATATTCTATGATCAGAGCATGCAGCTTTATTCTTATGTAAGAGAAAAGCGATAGGATGAACTTGCTGGGGGACAATTAAGAAAGGTTCTCCCAAAGAGTCTTGTCATCACAATGGCAGAGAATCAGTCTCTGTTCCTTCAGTGTATGGCGCTGAGCAGGGAAAAGCAGGAATCCTTTTTAATCACTGGTGAGTATAGGATATATTCCACACTGAGTAGCTTCTGCCACTCAGTAGCTCCTGCTAATTAAAGCCCAGTGCTTGCAGACTGTTTTTGCTGGGGGGGAAAACAAGTCCTAAACCAAGAGCTAGAATTGAATTTAGGGAATATGTCAAAATGTTTATGGACTTTAATGAAAAGCATTGTGTAGCTATTAATTAATAATGATAACATTCTGAAATTGCCTTTCTAGGGTCCTATCCCAGATTGTCCCTCAGCTTTAAGCTTAAGAGAAATATTGGCTACTTCATCCTGCAAACATACATGCCTTCCATCTTGATTACGATCCTCTCCTGGGTCTCTTTCTGGATTAATTATGATGCGTCAGCTGCCAGAGTGGCTTTAGGTAAGCCATTTTCTAACTGCATGTGGGGTTTTACTCTGTGCCTGCATGTCTGCACATGCATGCAGTTTCCTACCCAGGGATTTGTAATGCTTGACACGACTGGACCTTGCCCATTACAAGAGTTTAGCCTTCAGACTTTGGGTGATCTGATTCACCATTAAATCAATTAAACAYGAATTAAAGCTCTTGCGTATCAAAATTAGTTAACTATATAGCTGTTGGTAATGAAATTAGATTCATTGGTTTCATATTTTTATTGAAACATATTTCATGTAATATTGCTTGCATAATTGTTCAATCTGCATCTATTGCATGCTTCTATATCTGAGAAGAGCTCCTTTCCAACTTTTTTTTTCATAAGACAAGGATATGCAATATGTAGTAGATGGATAAGCAAAAAGGATTCTACAGTTTTATTAATGGTTTTGAGCAGCATACAGAGGACAGAGACAGCAGAATAATAACACTGGGAAATCATCTGTGGCATGGCATGTCATAAGGATAATTTTTTTTCTCTTATAACAACAGGAGGAGGATATTAAATTATATTTCTTAAACATTTTTGTTATTAACTCTGGGTAAAGTAAATTTATGACCTTCTGTACAATCTTCATTATTTTCAGTTCCGATTATTCCCCTTAAAATATTGAATTGTTGACTTCTTCACCACGAGATCTCAAATTCCATTATTGCTTTCTTAGAAAGTCATTCATTATTCATTCAAAAAATATCTGTTGAATTCCTGATAGGGTCTAACCAGACGGTGCACTGGATACAGCAGTCTTCTTCTGGAAGGTTTACTCAGGTAGTAAAAGATAGACAACAAATTGAATAACCATGCATATTATAGTATAGGGTAAATCCATAGAGAGAAATCAGCCAGGTAAGAGGGCTTGAGTGTACAACAGAGAACAGTTTAGCAAAATCAAGGCTGATCTGAGCGCAGAAGTTGTCCATAAAACACAAGAGTTCAAGACGAAGACYCAAGTAGCTCAGTTGGTGATGATATTCCCTGAGGCAGGAACCATCAAAATAGGTTCGCAAGAATCTTCTGAGGCCAGGATAGAGTAAGCTCAAGGGGTGGAGTAAAGATGATATTGGAGAGGGAGAAATGAAAGATCATGAAGGTTTTTATAGACTATGATACAGACAGACATTGCCATTGAGCAAAAAAAAAAATGACAAGATTTGATTTCAGTTTGAAAGGGGTTCACATTGGCTGATGTTAAGGTTAGATTATGATGGCCCAAGRATGGAAGGGAGTAGAAGAAATGACCTCTGGCAAGGCCTGTGATATATACTCTTCAAATGCTGCCCTATGAGGACTAGCCATAGGTATAACTTTCATTATGCTATGAATTTTCCTCCCACAGTACTGAAGGATCCCCAGGGGAAGATCCAAATCTGGTATTGTATCCACAGTGTCCTGCCTGGGGAATGGTGCTCAGTAATTGTTCCCTGAATGAAGAAGGAATGCATACAGTTTGCGAATATCCTATATCTACTTTGTGTGTATTGTAGAATCAAGAAATAATTACTTACTTTTTAAAGGAGATTTTTGAAACATCCTTTTAGGTGAACAATTTGCTAATATTTTCAGAAATACCTCAAAATCGGACTTAGTCAAATCAACATTGTCTCATCGTGTGGAGCAGGGTAGTCTATAGTTGAAATGAAGAAGAGAACAAAAGTGATTAACAAAGAAAAGAGAGGAGAACTGTTAGGATACTTCATTTAACATAAACCAAAACCAAGGCTCAAATCTATATTTTCTGAAGTTTTTCATGAAAATCTACAGAAGCAAAATTAGAAGTATGATGTTATTGCTAGATAAAAATCGAATCAGAAAACTATGTCCTCAAAAAGTCATAGAAATAAAATTTAGCCTTTGAGATATGCTGTTGGAAAGTGTTAAAGGGAACAGTTAAAAAGACGCTGTTTTAAACAGTCATGGTACGACTTCCCATCTGTGTGATCTTGACCTCTGAGCTTTGTCTATTTTCACATCACTGTTTGGCAACAAAGTTGGAATTTATCATGCTCAGAACTCTGGACTCCTGTGCTCTTTACCTTCCAATTACAACTTCGAGGAAAACTACTTGCGACAGCCAGAGCTCTCCACTCTACTGGATGAGCAGTTAGAGTCTAACCCAGAGTGGCATTTCCCATAGAACTCTTATAATACTTCTGAGCTGTTTATGTGGGCATTGTGCCTGATTGTCCAACCCTAAGCCATGAGAACTGACTCCTTCCTTCTTCTCCGCTACCCTCCACTTCCAGTTTCTGAAATGTTGACAGTGGTTCATTTAATGCCATCTGTATAATGTGTTCATTGATTTCAGAATCATTGCTGTTATTTTACTTCCCCTCTGTCATKTAAGTGGATTTTTCCAGAAGCCTTTGAACTGGTGTCCTTTATTGTCTTGCTTGTGTCTGACCCACACTCCACACTGCTACCAGAGTGACTGTCCTAAATTCAGTTGTCTATAAGTTTCCTGCTTGAAGCTGGCCAGTGCTTCGCATTGTCTTTAATTTAAACGTCTTCTTGGGCTCCCCATCTTGCAGCCCTTTCTTGAATCTCCCCTCTTCTCACAATTCAATTCATCCTGCTTAATAATGCACCCATAATTTTTCTTGGAAACCCAACCTTTTATATCAAGTTTTCTCCACCCCAGTAACCTGTTGTATTCTTTAAATATTGACCTCCAGGCCTTGTTCACCAGGGTAATGATCACTCAGTCTTCAGAAATCTGCTCAGACATATCCATTTCCTATTCTCCTCCCCACTACGTCACAGAACTGCACTAGGATCTTCCCCCATATACTCATTTTATGCATACGGTTATGATAGCATTTAATTCACTAGTTATAATAAGTATAAATTAAAAAAAAACATAATGAAAGGAAATCTCCCAAAGTTATTAATGTTCACCATAAGCTAATTTATGTACATCCCCAGGGCCTATCACAGAGCTGATGTATAATAAGTGCCCAGTAAATCTGTTGTGGTTCATATAAACGAGTAAAATTAACCTTTCCAATGATTGTAAGAGCAAAAAAGAAATGGGAACATCATTATTCTAACTTTTTTTCTTTTTCCTTTTTTTTTTTTTTTCAGGAATTACAACTGTACTAACAATGACCACAATCAACACTCACCTCCGGGAAACTCTCCCCAAAATCCCTTATGTGAAGGCCATTGACATGTACCTAATGGGGTGCTTTGTCTTCGTTTTCATGGCCCTTCTGGAATATGCTTTGGTCAACTACATCTTCTTTGGGAGAGGACCCCAACGCCAAAAGAAAGCAGCAGAGAAGGCTGCTAGTGCCAACAATGAGAAGATGCGCCTGGATGTCAACAAGGTAAATCCAGAGGGCAAGCCCTCTTGCTTCTTAAGTGCATAGAGGAATGCTACTAGTATAGGCTAATGGCCTTCCTCAAAACAGGAGGAAACCAAAGCCCCAGGGAGAGAATAGATAATTTTCCCCAAATTACAAATATATGTAGTGAGAAAGGCACAATTATGGCCCAAACTCATCACCCAAGCTTTGGGTGATGCCCTTTCCGTGAACTGTAGGTTTTCCCACAACTTTGTCTGAGAACCACCTATGTGACCTTTTCCCCAGGCATAAATATAGTGTCTATTTTATTTACATTTCTTTAATTTATTCACCTTATTTAAATTTTTATACTTTATGTCATTCAAATTATTATTACTTTCTGGAGGATTTTTTTAGATAAATAAAAATAAATAACAGGACTTTGGACCTAAAATATTTATTCTCTTAAACTTAAAAGTATAATAAACAATTCTAGAGATGTGTTAAGACCCGCCCAGCAACAAATTGAGACTTCCCCCTTGAGGTCATCAGACAAGTGTGGAAGGAAAAAAAAAAAGAGGAATAGATTTTTTTTCATTTAGTGACACAGGATTACTGAACACCTTGCACATATACCCTTATCATTGAAGCAGTTGACATATGAGGCCACCATCTTGTTTATGTCAGGCATAGTCAAAGACTTCCTGCATGATAGTAAACACTGTTCATTCTTTAGAACAATCGTTTTCAACCTCAGCTGCCAAATGGAATGATCTGTAGAGGATTAAAAAGAATACTGAAGGCAGGATCCCTTCCCCCAGAATTCTCATTTGAGTATCTTGGGGTATGTCTTGATTGCATACTCTTTAGTTTCCTCAGGAATTCTGATTTGTAGCCAAGTTGAGAAATCACCACTTTGAGGCTTCTGTCAAGAATCCCAATGGAGTTAATCCACATTAATCCCAGAATGGAACTTTACCTGGCTTCCTGTTATAGAACTTTCTGCACTAGACTGTATAATTGTGTATGCATTTCCCAATAGTCCAGATTTAGATCCTTTGAAATAGATAATGAAAACAAGGTCTTGACTTAGTATCTRCTTGCAGTAGTGTTTAGGAAATAATGTGTAATATTGAGTTCAATAAAATGGTAATAGGACAAAGAAAGTAACAAAATCTTTAAACCATATGGAGTTATTCTGTATCATAATAATAATTGATTATTTAATTGATATTTTAATTTTGTCTAGCTTCAGATTAATTTCAGGATAGAACATATAAATAATCTCTACCATTGGGATTTATTTGAGTAAACCCTGTGGCAACTTATGTTTCCCACATACCCATAGGTATGTTATTTGATTTTAGACTATTCTGTAACCAAAGGTACTTCTTTCTCAGAACATGATGTTAATAATGATGCAAATAATAAACATAGGCTTTGTAAGCCAATGAGCCAGGGGGCCAAGGAAATTATTAATTTCTTACCAATGCCCAGGGTTTCACTGAATGGAGTCTTTTGGTTGGTAGATTCCAACCTACACTCAYGGCTTTCTTGGGCTGTCAAATGTCAGAGTACTTTTAACATCCATTTCATGATTTACCTAATATTATAGTCTTAGTAAAGGAAAGAGAATGAATAAATTGCACTATCTCAGAGGACTGCAGCTTAAGATGAGTTTAAATCAATTGCCTAACACAAGGCTGACTTAATAAGATAGCATYTGAGCTCTCTCACTTTCATCTACCCTATTTTTCATACTAATTTGCATTTAAATGATAAATTTAAGATCTAGATGGTGGATATTTTATATGAACTGAATCTGGAAAGCTTTAGGTGTTTTACACTCAATTGTACTGAGCTGGAGTAGAGAAAGCTTCACTTATCAGGTACCTCACCAGGTTGAAAAGCCCATCCTCTTGGCTGCAGATAGATCCACAACTGAGGTGATAAAATACAAGAGAAAAAGAAAGATATCTAGAAATCCTCCTTTTTCAGTGTTTCAAAGACAGGGGCGATTTTGTCTCCCAGAGAATTCTTGACAATGTCAGAAGATATTTTTGGATGTCAAACTGTGAAAAGGGCATTGCTACTGGTATCCAGCGTGATGAGGTCAGGGATGCCACTATCCACCCGCTAGTGCAGAGGACAGCTTTCTGTAKCAAAGACCTGTCCAGCTCACAGCATCTGCGCCTCAGTCTCAAACATGAGAAACTGAGGCCAGAAAAGAACAATATGTTTGTGTTATTCTTAAAATTCTTTAATAGAAGTGACCTCCATACGAGGTAAGGACTCTGCTAGTCGTAAATATTAATAAACTATTAGTGTCAGGCATTATTACTTTAAAAATAAAATTTATAGTTTCCACACTTATGGGCAATGCTTGCCTGTGTGTTTTATGGTGGTCTAGCGTGTAGGGGGCAGTCACAACCCTTAAGGAGAATATGACCTGGAAAGGAATGTTGTATGGCAGAAATTATAAAGTTAAAGCAAGGAAATCACTTTTCAATGAGTGTTCACTCTAAAGTTTATAACAAACCCACTATGTCAAGCTTTATTGAATAGAATGGAATACATCTAGATGAGATTAAAACCAAAAAAAAAAAGGTTGCATCTAATATTCCAGGTCCCCATGGTTTCTTTTTCAACCCAGCATGAAAGACTGGAGGGGATCCACACTGGGTTCTGATTGTCCAATGCTTTCTTTTGTGTTGGTGTCATTTCTTGTAGAGAGCGTTGTGAAYGGGGTAGTTTTCCATGTCCCTTCTTTTCATTGTCTTTTTTCAAAGATCAGGCACATAGCATCAGCTAAATATTTTATACTCTGGGGAAAAAAAAATCAGCCAGTAGGAGAGGGATTGAAATTTTCACCTTTGGTAGTTTCCTAGAGTTGAAAGTAGTGTGTCCAATCACCTAAACTTACTGTTAAACTGCTCTGCCCTGAGGTCAGGGATGGATCAAAATGGGAAGCCAGCCCAGATGGGAACCCATTGTTCCTTGAGCAGATTCTTCCACACTTTTTCCCATTTCTGTGTTGTTTTCTCTTAACTTTTTATTTGAAGAAAGGAAGTTTGTGGCTTCTAAATTACTATCCTGTCATTTTAGTGATGCAAAAACTAAAACCCTTAAAGAAAATGCAACGGCCCAGGTTGCATAGCGAAGTAAACACCTCTGAGATGCACTTTGGGTTTTCCCAGCCATATTCAGTGTCTATTCCACAGTGCTAACAAATGAAAAAAATAAAGTTACATTGAAAAGGTCGTTCCACATCAGTTCATATATTCAACTCAATTGACTTCACAAAAAAAAAAAAGAAAAACTCTCTGCACATAGAAATCCATAAGCAAGTGTCACTTTCACAGTTGCCTTCATGTGACAAATGACGGTGGGAAATACCAAGACTTTTTAAGCAATCTTCACACCAACATGAAGTCTATGAAGTCGTTTTCCCAAGTGTCCTCCACAGTTCAGAAAATATTATACCCTCCAAAATAAGAGTAAAAATAAATTTTAAAAAATCCAATCTCCTTACTAGTGTCAGGAGAGTCCTTTCTGTTGTCCCTTGAATTCTTGTGTATATGTGTGCACTACTGAGTGTTTCCTGATAGAATTTGCTTTTGATTTTCCTCCCTGTTTTTGATCAGGTCTTCAAGTTTTCAACTCTCCTTTATTTTTCCTTAAAGTCTTATGTTTTCTCCTGGTTTATTTTTTCTGCCAATTACTAAGTATATGCATGTTTGAAAAGTTAGTTAGTCTTGCCTTTTAGCCATGTTACTTATTACATATTTGAAATGCCTCCAGTATCTTTACTGCATTGAGAAACCCACAAACCCCAGTTTTCTTTTTTTTTTCAAGTATATAAATAATTTTATGCTGAAATTTGATAGAAGTCTTGTAGAAATTTCAAATTCAATAAAGTAATACATAAAAGATGAACATTTGAAAATATATAATTTTCATATGCACCAAAAATGAAATCAGAAAAATAATCATATTCATAAGCATCACAATAGAGATGCCCCAAAAGATCTTCATTTGAAGGTGTTCTTTATTCTACATTCATGGTTGTTGTGAATCTCTGTATTGTCTTTTCCCATTGTGCCTAATCTTTTGTAATGCAAAGCCKCTAAGATTTCTTTAATCTATTTCTACTGCTTGTAATTAATTTTTTAAAAAWACATTTTTTAAACCCAAATAATTGGCATTCCCTGCTCTGCTAGCATTGCTCTATCTTTATGCTTTCTAGAGACCAGTAGCATTTATCTATATCCAATTTACTTTAACAACCCATCCCAAACTACTGGCATCAGTCGACTTAATTAGCACATTCTCTACTTTGTCTTCCAGATTTTTTATAAAGATATTAAACAAAATGGGACCCAATATCGATCCTTGTGGGACCCCACTGGAAACCTCTCCCCAACTAGACGGACTACCAATTACGATTTCTCTCTGTATACGGTTAGATAGCCAGTTTTTAATCCATTTATTTGTATTTCTGTCGGGACCAATTTGCTTAGCTGTTCCCTTTAAAGTAATGTTTGAGATCTTTGCAGATAATTTATAGACATGCATCCATAGAGATTTCGGGATAAGTTCAGGTTTTCATGAGACCTTAATGGGGTTTTCTTGGGTTTGTTTTTTTCAATATGGCTATGGTGGACCTAAGCCTCAGTGTTCCAATGAGGAGCTGCTGTTTAAGCTGGAGAAAGAAAGCAATTGGCTCTTGTTTTGAGATCCCTTTGCATTTTTCTTAAAAGAATAGAATATAGAACATTTGATGGCATTTCTTGGTTTTGTTGTTGGTTGTTTTTTGTTTTTGTTTTGTTTTGTTTTTTCCTGGTTAGTTGAGTAAGTAGAAAATGAAACATTTCCAACATTTTATTGGTTGGCTCAGAATTCAGGAACCTGTACTTTCTATCCTAGATTATTAATTTGTGTCTAAGGATGTTATACTTGCATCAAGTCCTTGTTGCTTTATGATTTATTTTATAAACATATATTATCTTGGCAGGCTCAGCACTATCATRACGATGGGTATG